CTTTATTAGTGTATAGTTAGCTATATTGGGGTTGTATAGTTAGAAAATATAGTTACCTACATCTATATTAGTTATTTAGTGTAGTTAGCTATTTTATTTTCAGAATAAGATGAGGGTATATCTAAAATTCACAACAAAAAATATTACTTGTGATATTGTAGATGTTTAATTTTATATCCAATTCTTATTATAGAACCCAGTTTCCCTTTTTTATAAAGTTTTATATCATAAAACTAGATTATTGAAAGATATTGTATAATATAAATATTCAAAGTTTGAGAGAGGTTTAGAGAAGGAGAAAACTGCATGGCTATTAATTCTCTCTTTTTCGCCGAAGATGATGGAATTCACTGTACTCATCGGCTTAAATTCATCATCATTGAAATTGAGCATGATGACAAGCACTTGCCATCATTCTTATGATCAAAATCTCTAGGTTGCTAGACCGTTATCGCACATGTCTATCAAGATTATGTGGTGGTTGGAGAAAGTGATGTATCTTTGGTTAATTAAACATCGGGATTCCTTTTCGTGTCTCTCTGAAAGGGTTGATAGAGTTTTCGTGTAGAAAGAGAAAGAAACCATATTAATCAATGAGAGAACTTTTTTTTTTGTTTGTTCAAACCAATGAGAGAACTACTTTTCTGAATATGTGACTCAATCCTAAAGAACCTCTCTTTATACTAGAGGGTTTCTTTCACATCCTATATATAAAAGATGACTTCATCTCACAAGAATATGACACCTAAGCATCTTCTATTTTCACACATCATCATTAGAAAAAAAAACAAATTATCTTTAATCCATCGACTCCATTCTTTGATTTTCTTCAAATCCGTAGAAAACTTAAATAAATTGACTCTAAACTCTGAAAAATATCAGACTATCTTTTGATTATTGAATCTTTCGAAGACCAAAGCCACATAAAGCAAATGAAGTTCTTCCTATTCTATTACTATATTAGTCTTGATTACAAAATTATTCAAGATAAAAAAAAAAGTGAAAGCAAAGAAAAATAAAATTGTGGACCAAAGAGATATTTTCACAAAAGTTCGCCCTAAATACTCTCCTAGGCATGGTCTACGAGGTGGCCGCCGACAAAGTTCAAAGTGATTTTTGTAACTCCGGTTTTTTCTGTCATGACTCTCGTCTAAGATCGGCAACCTTCAGACTTTTCAGATCATTTTCAAACTCTTCCGAAGAGATTCTCCGGCGTCACCCACTCTCTCTTCATGGCTTCTGCGAGCGAGATCCATCGATTGTTTCCGGCCTCACCGTCTGCTTCAGAGGCTATTGCTAAGTTCCCCTCTCAGATGATGGGTCTGGTGCGGTCGAGCCCTGCTCTTCCACTCGAGCCGCCGGACCCGCCTGATCCTCCGGCAAGACCTCCTGCAACTTCGCCGCCACAGTCTGAGGTTACAGCTCTTCTCCTTCTACTTTCTCGGTCTAGCCATCTAGATTTGTACGGCACCAGATCTAGAAGTCCATATTGTTCTCGAAGCTTGAAGGGGCTATCTACAGAATGCTGCTCCCTTCGTCCTTGGGCTCGAGACGCGGTGGCTCAACCCCATGCTCAAAGGTTGATGTGTCCATCTCCCTTCCCCTTGCCGAGATCCGACGTCAACTCCCTTGGTCCCTGATGCACAGAAACTTTGATGCGAGCAGGGTTTAGATGCATATGCAAGTTTTAAATTTATAATCCTATGAAACTGCAAGTGCACAGTAGACAATTGTAGTACTTATGGGTCGATCCACGAAGACTAGGTGATGAATGCACTACAAACCTACATGATTCGAATTAAGCTAAGGAAAAATATTATTTGGTTTTTAGGGTTTTTATTGAAGCAAATAACAAGCAATAATTAAAGGGATAGATATCAATTAAGATGAGCATTCAAGCAATTCACAAAACATATGCAAAACACAAGCAATCGAATTAGAGTTTTTAGACTAGTTGTTCTATAACTCATATCACTAATGTAAGGTCATCCCACTGTCGTGACATAACTAACCATCTACGTTTTCTACCCTAATAGACTCAACTATCGCAGGTTATTATAAGGTGA